AAAAAAATGTAACTCTCGGAGCCCCTGTAATCCTTCCACGGAACCCCAGGGTTCCGCGGAACACTTTTTGTAAATCGCTGCTATACTGTGTTTGCTGTTAACTTCTGCCCCCCTCCAACTTTCCATTTTCAACACTTATTTCTTTAAATTAAATATCCATTTTGAGTTAAATAATAATTATACATAACATAAATAATTTTGATCATTTTTTTAAAAAATATTTAAAATTTTAGGTACATTGTTATATCAAATGTTGTGAGTTTACAACCGTAATTGAATATTTTCGATTAATAAACAAGCTGATATTTTGAATACAATTAAATTGTACGTGCATTATATTGTCGATGAAGTTGGTTGTTAAGCTCTAAATCATTCAGCAATTTTCTTTAGCGGTAATTTACAATAGGAAACGAATGTAATTTAAACCAAACAATAATAAATATAAAACGACTTATAAGTTTAGATACCGTTTCAAATATTTAATATTAAAATGTTGCGTAATAAGGCAATATGATAGAATTATGTTGTAATAATGAAGCTACTCCTTTAATTTAAAATCTTAATTTTAAAAACGATAAAAAAAAACATAATAATAGTACAGTAAAATAGAACAAACATAACAGTAAATACCAAAACAAATCCAAAAGGACACAAATAAAAATACAAAAAAATATTATATAAAATTTGGGATACAGAAATACTTTACAGGAAAGCACTACCTTTGTGACTTTTACTTTATTTTGCAACCACTGTTGAACAGTCGAGTCAATTTTGAGTTTGTGACTACAGCGTTGAACTCCATAGTCTTGAAATTATGAACCTAATCCAGAAGACAAGGGAACTCCTGAATTAAGTATTGGGAGAAATTGGCTCCATAGAGGACTTTCTGATGGAACTAACCAGCATTTACGTTTAATGGAGAAGAAAACCACGAAAATCTCCCATGGTTAGTCTGACGGAGAAGGAACGGGATAATAGTTTGTGAATTTAATTTTAAACTTTAATTATGAATTATGAATTGCTAATTCATTTTTCCTTTTATTATTTTTTTATTGTCAATTCTCACCATTTCTTTTATATTTTTTTCTGAATTTATATCAGTTTTCAGCAGTTCAAACTCGTTTTTGTCACCTTTTAAAAGAAAAGAAACTTAGTTGAAACACTAACTCTTGAAACTGGAAGTCGAAACACTAACCCTAACTTCTTAGTTGAAACTTGATGTCGAAACACTAACCTTAATTTAGTGCAGATAAATATATTAAGTTATATCATTTGTGGCCAGTTAATGTTATATAGATGAAAGTTGGAAAAAAACAGAGTTTTAAAGTTTCTACTCTTTTTTTTTTCCTAAACAGCAACGAGAATAGAATTGCTTACATTTTTAATCGCTAATTAGGTCTTTGATAACGAAAACAATTAATGTAAAACAACTATATTTTGAGGGGTAAATGATTTCCCGAAATTATGCCAGTTTCATGACCAACTAGATGCGCAAATGACCGGATAATGATTCTCCCTTCTTTGATGAATTACTGGAGCCTCTATGGGACAGGTCTGAAGAAAAATTATTTAAAACCAAGCAAATAAAAATTTGTCAGTTTATTAGTTTTACGTTTTTAGCGCAAGATCAATAGTCTGGTTTAAGTGTTTTGGGAGTATCCAATGTCTGTAAGATGAGCCATGGTGTCTCAGGGGTAGAGCTCACGCTTAACAATGAGGTTCAAATCCCAGTACAAACTCCACCCCCGGCTCGCACCGACCACAGTGCTGACGCAAAATATATCCTCAATAGTAGACAGATCATGTATTAGAGACCCTTTGTCGTTAGTCTAAGTGTGGGAGGTTTTCATGTTTTTTCTCTCCATCTAATGCAAACGCGGGTCAGTTCCAACAAAAAGTACTCCACGAAAGCAAATTTCTCCCAACACTTGATCCAGGAGTTCTGTTCCAAATTACAAGGCTATGGAGTTGAAAAGTGGTAATCGTAAACTCAAAATTTGATCAGCTGTGGGCATAGTCTGTTAAAAATTAGGATGTTCCCAAAAAAAAATTATTTAAGTAAAAGCAGGGTTGACTCAGATGTGTGGACAGTGGCTCTATCCTGGTGAAACCATCATAGCGCATAAATATTACACAAGCAATTTGCTCAATCTTTGATGGTGCTATTTTCTCGATTTTCGGTTGATTGGTTAATTGAGGATTATTAAAACAAGAGCCAGGTTTTGGCACAAGAGCCAAAAATGGCTATACTGCTCCAGTCACTAGTTTCAATTTTTTTTTTAAATTAATGAATATCTATTACTATTGTTTTTAGAAACTTGATAAGATTGTGACGTATCGGGTCTCCAAGCAATAATGAAATATTTGGATAAAAGCTGTCAAGCTGATTTTTCGGTGGGTCCGTTTTGTATTTCTCTAAAAGTTCAAACGTTCTAAAATCTTTTTTTTTATATATATAAACTTTTTTTTTACCAGAAAACTCGAAAAAAATCAAATCTTATGAAAAATTCAAGGCGGTGTTCTTCCTTTAAGATACGAAAAGAAAAATATTTTTTTTTTTAAGATTTCTCGTTCTCAATAAAGACATGAAAAAGGCATTTAGACATGAACAAGGAGTAGCGTCCATTGCTTACAACAGCTACAAAACGACATCGTATGCTGAAGTCCTTAGTCCCTTTTACTGCACAACGTTTTGAAGAAAGTTTTCTTTTTCCAATCCTCTCTTTTAAAAAAAAATCAAGAAAAGAAAAGTAAAATTTGTATTCAAAATAGTTGTGCTTGCTTTGGTAAACACTTAAGCTTGTTTTTAAAAGCCACATTCAAAACAAATCTTATTTTAAAATAATTTTAAAAATGTTAGAAATTTTCGGAATTTTCTTTGTTATAGTTTACTTTACGCCATTATTTTATTACTTTACTCATCAAGAGAGCTATCCCACACTTTTTAATTGATATTTTTTAAAGACCTTTATTAAATTTTCAATGTAGCACCGTTATCTATTAGTAGGGCGCAAAAAGAAAAACTAAAAATGACTAAATGACTTTTGATCTAATCATCGGAATTTAAATTATAAACATTCAATCTTAATAGTCCAAAAATATGACCATAAACATTCTAAATGAATTAATGCAATAACTTTATTGATGAATGATCATAAATGTTCTAAATGCTCTATAAAAAAAACTAAAAATGTCTAAATGACTTTTTGATCTAATCATCGAAATTTAAACTATAAACATTCCAAAAATCTAACCATAAACATTCTAAATAAATTGATGCAATAACTTTATTGATGAATGATCATAAATGCTCTAAATGAATTGCTGCAGCGCTCAAAAAGAAAAACTAAAAATGTCTAAATGACTTTTGATCTAATCATCGGAATTTAAATTATAAACATTCAATCTTAATAGACCATAAACATTCTAAATAAATTGATGCAATAACTTTATTGATGACTTTATTTATAAAAAAAATTAAAAAAAATTTTAAAAAAACATCAGTAAATTGTTTACTAAAAATTTAGAGCGGACAATCTTTTAAGTAAATAAAATCAGACACACAAAACGTGCATTCTCAATAAATGTAAATTTTTTTTATTTTATGATGAATTTGAAATTTCGACCCTTAATATGAGGGAAAGGGTAGCCACAATCACTAAAGTAGAATCCTTACATTAAATAAAGATTCTAGTTCTGATAAATAATTAATTAATTATTGAGATTAGGGCTAATAGATTCTAGTTAATTTTCAAGTTTTATTTTTCTATTTTTCCATTTTTCGTTGGCAAATTTACGTTTTATAATTCGAATCACTTTTGTATCTTCCCATTCACGTCTGGCAAGTCTTGAAAAAGTGCATCAGTTTTTGAACGCGTGAAGCATATTGACTGTTATTATCTATTTATATATTTTTGTAGCGAATGAAGTTTTTTAATCAAGTAAAATCCTTATAGTTTAGTCAAGACTTGTTTTGCCGTATTTCTGAAACTAATTATTAAAAAAATCTAATTAAGAACTAAAGAACTCACTTATCCAAAGATAATTCCTTACACAAAAAATCTATTCTTTTTTTAATCCATTACCCTTTTATTACTTAAATTAATGGTTGAAAAATATCTGAATTATAAAGTATTCATTTTTTAAATTATTTTAAAAATGTCAAGCTTGAAAATCAGAAAGAAATCGGTCGAACAGTACTTGAGCTATGAAAATTAAAAAGGCGACCTTTTTAGAAATACTCAAGAAGCTGGAGACCCCATAATCTTTAATGCAAAAACAATAACTTTATGAGTTAATAATTTAATCATAAATCTTCATTTCAATGGCTGAATTTTACTAAGCCTTCCAGCAATATTTTCTCAAGGTTGCACCCATTTAAAATCCTTTGTTCCAGCAAGCCATATCAGTTACACAGAACACCACCCGTGTTGTCATTTACACCCGCATACGTAAAGCTGACCTACATTTATGAATAATGTGACATACTTATACATTCATCTACTAATTACAGCTTGAGAACAACCCTTTTCTTCTATTTATTTTCTTGTCCCCGTGTCACATTCAAGAGAAAATACCTCACTCAATTCCGAAAACAAACAATCAAATATGCAATTCTCATCCAATCAACTTTTTTTTATGGAATATTTTATTATTTCAAATCAAAATATGTGTTGCAATCTTAACGTAAGGTCAGAGAACTCTGACGACTTCTGTGCTTTGGTGACGTCATAATATTCAGGTTCATATAGGTCATGAAGATGCAGGAAGCGACGAGGTTGTCCGACCAGGCGACGGGACCTTTAAAAAATCCCGTTCCTCGCATATATTTCTTTTCTTTCTTTTTTATTCTTTTTATTTTATTTTATTAATTTTATTTCTACCCATGAAAGAAGAATCACAACCTTGGTCGGATTTCTTTATATATTTCTTTTTATTCTTTTTAAGTAGCTCTTATTCTCTGAAAGGTTTGTTAAATGGTGCACCGATTTGAAGAACTTGGAGTTAACCAAGCGAATGGTTAAATGTGTAATTTTTTTCGCGCCACTTCTTTCTTTATTCTTTTGGATATGAATTGGATACATACATCAGTTCATTTTTTGATGATAGGAGCTGAAGCTTGGTCATGTGATATCGTAATGATTGCCTAAAGTGTTATCCCGTTTGTTTTGAATTTTGCCGAGTTCGTAGCAAATCAATCAATCAAGGAAGTGGAATACTCATTAGTAATTTGGTCAAAAGATTGAACGGTCACAGTTTAATTACTCGTCCTTATGAAACAGATAACGGTTGTATGATATTAATCAATATTTTTTTTTTATTTTGGCTTCAATTTGAAACAGAAGCACACGTAAGTTGGATATAGTGCATCAGCGAGTCTTCAAGAACTTTAACTGTTTCGTCTTCTTTGAATTATTTATCCTCAATACTATCATATTGTGATTTGGAATATGAACCTAAAAGTTCAAGTTCGCTAAGGAAAAAATTTCTACTATTATTGTCTGTTTACATTTGCTTATGCACGTCGGTAAGAAAAAGTAAATAATCATTAGTTGTTGACGTGATTATTCTTGAAGCTATGTTTTGCATGATCGTTACATGAATTACATTTCTATCTTCAGTTAGAAAGCAAAGAGAATGAACAAATGTAAAGAAGTACTTCATCATTTATTAGCAAGGTGAACTTTAAAAAAAATTAGTTTTTATTTATATAAATAAAAATATTTCGAAACAGCTGCTGAAATATAATTATCGCTTTTTTGCAACAAGTATGGTTATTTATTCTCTAAAGTGCCTATAAATTGGAACGTTTTTGTAATCTAAAAACTATGCAAAGGATATTGCTTTTATTATTATGGAATGCTTTTCTGCTGTTAGTGGTGAGTAAACATTTATTAAAATAGTGATTGATAGATTGATGTATATTTTGATATAACCATGTGGCTATAGGGCCCCTAAAACTAGGTCTAAAACAAAGCTGGATTTAAAGTGTTAAATCGTAAAACATTGATTAAATTATAATAATACTGAATTATCTAATTTCTTGGACGCATCCGTCTTGCACCGACCACAGTGCTGACGTGAAATATCCTCAGTGGTAGACGGATCATGGGTTAGAGTCCCCTTGCCGACAGGCTAACCGTGGGAGGTCCTCGTGGTCTTCCTCTTCGTTCAATGCAAATGCGGGTTAGTTCCATCAAAAAAATCCTACGCGATGACAAATTTTTCCCAATACTTGATCAGGAGTTCCCTTGTCTTCAGGATTGGGTTCAAAATTACAAGGCTACGTAGTTGAACATTAGTAGTCGTAACCCAAACATTTGTCGCAGTTCAACGACGGTTATTAAATAAAAATAAAATTTCTTGGATAAATTCTTGCGGTGTTTATTATTTAAGGTGCAAAGGTAGTCTAAGTGGCAAAATCCGTAAATTTTACATTATATGTTTGATTAGAAATTAATTTAAAGTATTGCTTCTTTATATTATTTGTCAAATTAAAATGTTAACAAAATGACTTGAATATAATAAAAAATAATTTTTGGTTAGTAACAGTAATTGAATTTTAAACGAAATTTTGAGTGAAGATAATTTTTTCCAACACACGTCATGCTTTCTTGATGTTTACTAATAAGTTCCAGAAATAAAATTACCTCCTCTTCAAGTTTTACTAATTGTCCATTAAGTATAAACACATTAAGCCATTAACATAGTCCATTAAGCACGAACAAAATCTTAATTTTAGTAGTTTTTTTCCAAAGGATTCAGATGCATAATCTTATTTATTTAAAGATTTTTTTATATCGAAGAATTCTGTTAATAATAACTTTCTTAACTTTTTTATTAAGCTTACAACCTTTATATTATATTTTTAAATGAAATAATTAATATTATTATTTAACTATGCTAAACTAATGACTAAATATTTGAAACTTTTGGTTTTTATTCATACTCAAAAAACTTAAGAGTTCTGAAGTCAAGGTTCCAGTTGGGCAGTATCAGAAATAAAGTTATAAAGATTATATTATTATTTTATTAATTTTCATCGGTATAATATTGATATTAATTAATAATATAACTGCATCAGAATATTAATTTGCATCTTAATATTAATTTGCATTTGAATGTATTAAAGAATCAATTCAAAATTATCATAAATTACGGTTAGCCACGCAAATTTTTCTTACGTTTTATTTAAACTTTAATAAAACATAAATTTTATTTGCCACCTTGAAATCGTTATATTTTTTACGTATGCTAACTTTTCTCTAAATTTTCCATTGAGCATTGCATTGGTCTGTTACTAAAGACTTTAGCGAGATTGGTACTTCAAGGTCACGTGACCCATGAAGAAAAAAAAGCCGAGTCACTCAGAGGGACTTATTTTTAATATTACATAACATGCTTCATAGTAAGTAAATCACATATAGTTTGTCTAAAATAAGAACTCCTCCAGACATTCGTCTGAACCTGTGGCGGTGACCATGGTAACGAGGTATGACTTTTTCAAGAAGGGGTACGGGGTCACTGTTTTGGAGTGGTTTCGGCGAGAGAAAGGGAATATCTTCGGTCTATTGTGTTAGTCCTAGAGTGAAGCTACCCTCCCTAAAATGCACCATTCCTGTTTCCATAACACCAGACGGCTTCTGACTTTGTAGCGGGAGGAGTTTTTAGCTTAGACAAACTATACTTCACATTGTTTTGTATTTTGGAATGTCCGTTACCGCTCACCGACCCCAAAGATTTCGTCGCAGTCCTGTTTCTCAATAGCATTTCGACGCAAAATTTATCATTTCAACAAAATTAAAATTATTCCCTTAATATAATACTTCTTTCACTTAATATCTATTATATATAATTCTCTTACGTGGCTCCCAAATTTTGGCTGTATTTCTTTTCCGCCGGTGGCAACGTTTGCTTTGTTTTGTTTACGTTTTGAAAACACCAAAGCATTCTGCCTTTTAATGATGTGTTTCTGATCTAATATATATAATTCTCTTACGTGGCTCCCAAATTTTGGCTGAAGTACTTTGTACAACTAAATAAGATTCTTTTCACAACA